TCGCAGCCCCTACTGGAGCCTTCCTCTCCGCTGCCTGCTCCCTCTCCTTACACTGGTCCTACTGGAGGTCTTGCTGAGCGTCGTGAGCCTGCGTCTCGTCCCGCGTCGCCTGTTCGTGCTGCTCGCGCTAGTGGTTGCAGTTCGCGTCAGCGTCCTCCTCCTGTCCCTGGCACGCACCGGATGTCTTTACGTCCGTCCACTGCTCCTCTGCGTGCCCCTTTGCCTTCTCCTCCTGAGTCCTCTCTTCCTGCGCTTGCGGACCCTGAGTCGGACTCTCTTCGTGCTGCCAGTCCCACTGTCACGCGTCTGCTTGCTACTGTAGTCACTGACCCCTCTTTTGAGTCCACTGCTGCGTCTGCTCTAGTCGCTGAGCTCGTCGACTTTGCTGCTCGCTGTCGTCTCGACTACGCTGCTAGTCTTGTTGCTGAGTCTGCGTCTGTCTGTCCTCCGTCCGTCGGGGGTGAGTGTGCTCTTGGCACGGACGTCCTAGAGGACAGGCAGGAGGAGTTACAGTGTCTAGCGGCTGCTTCACCTCATCTCGCGTCTGTACTGCTTGCCCCTGAGGGAGACCCGGATGCACTAGACATCCCGACTCCGCGTTCTTACGCGGAGGCCGTAGAGGGTCCCTACTCCTCTCAGTGGCAGGCAGCTATGGATGCAGAGATGGCTTCCTGGAAGTCCACAGGCACCTACGTTGACGCGGTTCCCCCTCCTGGGGCGAACATCGTCAGTGGCATGTGGATCTTCAGGGTGAAGCGGCCGCCGGGCTCTCCACCTGTCTTCAAGGCACGGTACGTTGCTCGTGGCTTCAGTCAGCGGCAGGGAGTTGACTACTTTCAGACCTTCTCTCCCACCCCGAAGATGACTACTCTTCGGGTGCTGCTGCACATAGCCGCTCAGCGCGACTACGAGCTTCACTCTCTCGACTTCAGCACTGCGTTCTTGCAGGGTAGCCTGCACGAGGAGATCTGGCTTCGCCGTCCACCTGGCTTCACTGGGACTTTCCCTCCTGGCACCCAGTGGAGCCTCCGACGGCCAGTCTACGGTCTCCGCCAGGCACCGCGTGAGTGGCACGACACACTGAGGACTACGCTTGCGGCTCTTGGGTTTGCTCCTTCTACTGCTGACCCGTCGCTGTTTCTTCGCACCGACACTTCCCTGCCGCCGTTCTACATCCTCGTGTACGTCGACGACCTGGTCTTTGCCACAGCGGACACTGCTGGACTCGCCTACGTGAAGTCCGAGCTGTTGAAGAGACACACGTGCACAGACCTGGGTGAACTGCGCAGCTACCTTGGCTTGCAGATCACTCGGGACAGAGCACGCCGCACCATTACCTTGACTCAGTCACACATGGTGCAGCAGGTCCTTCAGCGCTTCGGCTTCACGTACTCCTCGCCTCAGGCCACTCCTCTGCCTACTCGCCACTCACTCTCAGCTCTGCCTTCGGATGAGTCCGTAGAGTCGAGTGGTCCGTATGCGGAGCTTGTTGGCTGCCTCATGTACCTGATGACCTGCACACGACCTGACCTTGCATACCCTCTGAGCATTCTTGCACGCTATGTTGCTCCTGGGAGACACAGACCGGAGCACATGGCTGCAGCGAAGAGGGTATTGCGCTACCTGTGCAGTACGTCAGGCATGGGGCTAGTGCTTGGAGGGCAGAGTCCAGTGGTCCTTACCGGCCACGCGGACGCGTCTTGGGCTGACGACCAGGCTACGCAGCGGTCGTCACAGGGTTACACCTTCAGCCTTGGTTCCGGCTCTGTCTCGTGGCGGTCTACTCGCTCGTCTTCGGTTCTCGGCTTCAGTTGTGAGGCTGAGATCTACGCCGGGGCCATGGCTGCACAGGAGCTTCGCTGGCTCACCTACCTGCTGACTGACCTTGGAGAGCCGCCTCGTTCTCCTCCCGTGCTGTACGTAGACAACAAGGCTATGCTGGCCTTGTGTCGAGAGCAGCGCTTGGAGCACAGAACGAAGCACATTGCTCTCCGCTACTTCCTTGCTCGTGAGCTGCAGCAGCGTGGTCAGTTGCGACTTGCGTACGTGGCCTCTGAGGCCAACACTGCTGATGTGTTCACCAAGGCACTTGCGCCTTGTGACCATCAGCGCTTCTGCACCCAGCTGGGTCTTGTGCCTGTCTTGCCTCACTTGCTCTCCTCTTGACTTCACTTGTACTGTGACATATATATATACCTGCTCTTGCTTGTCTAGCTTTATATATATGTCTGTACTCTTGCTTGTGAACTGGCCTTTGGCCTTGCTCTTGTGCTCGGACTGTGTGGTGACTTTGTGATCCACCCTGAGCTTTGCTTTGTCTTGCTTGACTGGTCTTTTGACCCCTTGTTCTCCCCCACTTTGCCTATGGGGGTGTGTCAGAACATATCTATAGCTTATACTGCTGTGTAGGCTGTAGTGGGGTATCCCATAAGGGGTACAACCCAGTTAGGGTTTCATATTTGTACTGCTTTCATTCATAGTTCATTCATTCCTGTTTTCCTATTCTCTCAAAAATGGGGGGGGGGTCTCCTCATAGGAAAAAAACACATAATACTCGGGTCTTTACATATGGCATATTTTAGTGTTAGTGTTTTTTTAATTAGTCAATGTGGGTGTTTTTCTGGTCGTTTTAGCATCACTGCCTGAGGCGCGAATGTCATTCGGCCTCGAACTTCATCGCCCTCACGAAAATGCTATGTGACACCTCTCTTGCCACTTGCAACCAGTGCCCTAGATATCAGACTTTAGAGTCTGAATCAGAGTCCGTTCAGACTTTTTTTTGTACCTAGTCTGAACTCAAAGAATTTATTTATGTACCTTGTCTGATTTTCCAGAGTTTTTTCTTATGAGTTGTCTGAAATTTCAGCCTAATTTTACTAGGGTAGGCCGAGCCTCAGACTTGTATCAGGGGTACACTCTGCGGCTTATCGGAGAGAAGTTTCCTGGAAGTTTCCTTCCGATATGCCCACTTCCGAGATGGCAGTGGAGTGCCAAGACGTGAGCAACACTCACTTCGACAGCTGGGACATCGAAATACACTCGTTCGTCGCGAATATCGTCCATTTACGCTGAGGAAAGGGTTGCGTGATTACAAGATTTCTGAAGACGAAGTCTCGTCACATGTAAGTTATCGCTTATGTACTGTAAAGAATAGGCGACTTTGATGGTGATTCGTTGTAAAAACATATGCAACACGCACTGGTGTGAATTGCGACGTTCCTGATTCGTAGTGAAAGTTTCGTGTGGCACTGTCTGATGCTTACATGCCACGCCAAGCAACAGCTTCTGCCTGCTGCCAGCTCAGCTGTATGACACTTGGCCCACCTGATACAGATCGAGTGCTCTACTCGGGCCGAGGGTGTCGCGTGGCACTTGGCCCACTTGATACAGATCGGGTGCTCTATTCGGGCCGAGGGTGTCGCGTGGCACTTGGCCCACCTGATACAGATCGGGTGAACGATCGCATCGCTTGAAAAGCAAATCCAAAACTGACAAAATCGGCACACATGCGAGAAAATAGGTACAGAACGGTAATCACACACACGACAAAACGAAATGAGATCAGCAGCAGAGCAGAAACAACCATGCGCTGCATGTGACAGAAACACCGGAACGCCGCCGACATGAGCAGAGGCGATGCACGAGCACGAGCACGTTGCCTGGTGCGTTGGTATGGTATGCTGTAATCAGCTTCAATGCTATTATAAGCTCTTTTACGAAAGAGCATGAACATCTTAAAAATTGAAGTAACTCTGACAGTTCAGACAAAAAAAATTGTGCCTGTCTGAATTTTCAGACTAAAATTTTGAGGCACCTCTGACAGACAGAGTTCCAGGAGGGGTGTACTCTGAGGCCTCAGACTACTGTGAGAATAAGCGAACAGGAATGAGTGAACTAGCAGTGAGAATGAGTACAAGTAGTAAACCCTAGAATTGTGTACCCCCTATAGGCTAACCTACTGTAGCCTACACAAGCATAACATATATAATGTTTGACAACTACCTCAAAACGAATATAGGGGCCTGCTTGCAACGGAAGATTGACCTCCACGTGGCAACAGAGAAATAGTGGGAGGGGGCAAATCTCGACAGATTGCCTTTGAATGTACAGCGAAATTTCATTGAGGGAGAAATTCACACGATATTCTTCCGTATTGCAGCTACTCGTTAACGACTGTAATAATGAATCCGTAAGAAAAGGGGGGTGTTATAGAAAATCAGCCAAAAAGGGGGGTATTGTAGAAACCAGGTCTATCATAACACCCACCCCGCACAAGCTACCCGGGGGTGTACAATTATGGGGGGGTGTTTTGTCCGGGAGTATACGGTATTCTTCAGTGTATGTGTGTGCTTGGGATCTTGTCTGTGCTGTTGCTAGATGTGCATTTGATGAAGTCACAACTCGTCAAATGGTTGCACTGCCTTGCCCGTCACAGCTCTTTGCGCCAAATTCGCACATCTGTTTGGCTGCCAATCAAAATTGAGAAAGAACTCCGTTCCTTGTTCACTCCGAAACTTGTCTGGAGCTGGAAAAAAAAACACACATAATTTAAACCTTCTATAACACTACAAAGAAACTAGGGCCTTCAAGTTGGACCCAACTAGAAAGGGGGGGTCGCTATTTTAGCTGCTGGCTTTAACACAACACTTTTGAGGAACAAACACCTATGTGCAAAGCAAGTCAAATCAAACCAGACAAAACCATAAAGCCAAACCAACAATCAATGCACAAACAGGCACACACACGCTCATAAATTCATAATCCGCCTTGTGGGATAGCTGACTGCAGCACAGCTGGCATGAGAGGAAGAGAACACAGCAAGCACATCTCATCACCATCAGCAGCAGCGGACGCAGCAGCAGCAACAGCGGCAGCAGCAGCAGCAGCAACAGCGGCAGCAGCAGCAGCAGCAGCAGTCAGAAATCCCACACGGCGGTTTCAGCTAGGCCACTCGGGCACCAGGCGAAGGAATCAAATAGCACCGTGGAACGCGCCCTAAGTCAGCATTTGCTGACCATGCAGAGGCCCTCCGATGCAGCAGAAGCCGCCCCAGCAGCACCAGCCGCAGCGGTATCAGCAGCAGCAACAGCAGCAACGGAGGAGGCGGAGGCAGAAGAGTTGAGGGTGGAGCGGTTGTATTTGAGGTGCGCCTGCACGAGGTGGCCCGAGGCGAGGGCGGAGCAGAGCGAGAGCTCCCCCGCCAGCACTGCTGCCGCCACCACCCGCGCCAGCTGCTGTGCGTTCGCCCCCGGCTGCGTGCTGTGGGACCCCTTCACGCCCAGCAGGGATAGGGCAGCCGCCTGGGAGAGCGGGAGGAGAGAGAGAGAGAGAGAGAGAGAGAGAGAGAGAGAGAGAGAGAGAGAGAGAGAGAGAGAGAGAGAGAGAGAGAGAGAGAGCGGGAGGAGAGAGAGAGAGAGCGGGAGGAGAGAGAGAGAGAGCGGGAGGAGAGGGAGAGAGAGCGGGAGGAGAGGGAGAGAGAGCGGGAGGAGAGGGAGAGAGAGCGGGAGGAGAGAGAGAGAGAGCGGGAGGAGAGAGAGAGAGAGCGGGAGGAGAGAGAGAGAGAGAGCGGGAGGAGAGAGAGAGAGAGAGCGGAAGGAGAGAGAGAGAGAGAGCGGGAGGAGAGAGAGAGAGAGCGGGAGGAGAGGGAGAGAGAGCGGGAGGAGAGAGAGAGCGGGAGGAGAGAGAGAGAGAGCGGGAGGAGAGAGAGAGAGAGAGCGGGAGGAGAGAGAGAGAGAGCGGGAGGAGAGAGAGAGAGAGCGGGAGGAGAGAGAGAGAGAGCAGGAGGAGAGAGAGAGAGCGGGAGGAGAGAGAGAGAGAGCGGGAGGAGAGAGAGAGAGAGCGGGAGGAGAGAGAGAGCGGGAGGAGAGAGAGAGAGAGCGGGAGGAGAGAGAGAGAGAGCGGGAGGAGAGAGAGAGAGAGCGGGAGGAGAGAGAGAGAGAGAGCGGGAGGAGAGAGAGAGAGAGAGCGGGAGGAGAGAGAGAGAGAGCGGGAGGAGAGAGAGAGAGAGCGGGAGGAGAGAGAGAGAGAGAGCGGGAGGAGAGAGAGAGAGAGAGAGAGAGAGAGAGAGAGAGAGAGAGAGAGAGAGAGAGAGAGAGAGAGAGAGAGAGGGAGAGAGAGAGAGAGAGAGAGCGGGAAGAGGGGAGTAAGGCCGATGTTGAGGCAGGATAGCTGAAGATGCATAATGACCGGCAATGACACGATAATGGCCGTCTCTGCCCAGTGCTTGGTGCACCATGCACACCTTTCATTCTAAACTGCGAAAGACACAAGGAGAGAGACGGCCTGCTCACCTGCGGTGCAAGGAAGGTTCCTCCCCCAACGGTGCCGACTTCGATCGCCGGCAGCATGACAGAAGCGTGCAGATCAGCCCCGCCATTGGCCGCCTCTAGCAGCGTGAGGCACTGCGAGCTCTCCACGTTCTGCGCGGGGTCCTGCCCCGTGGCCAGGAACACGGCCGTCACGATGTTGCTCGCGTGCGCGTTGCAGCCGCCCACCGCGCCCGCCATGGCTGAGCCAACGAGGTTCTTGGTCGTGTTCAGCTCCACCAGGGCGGCAACTGTTGTCTTTAGCACCGACTCGACCTGCAGAGGCGGCAGGAGGGAGCAGGGAGGGAAGTAGCGGGAACACGGGGGGGGGGGCGGAACGGTTGAGGCATGGTCAATCCATTAGGTTCTTGATCATGAGCGGAAAGAGGGAAAAAAAGATGAGTGAAAGAAGGGGGACGCGGGTGCATTCGGATCAACACCAAAGAAAAAGAAAGAAAGAAAGAAAAAAACAACTTACCACGCGGCCGGGGATGGTGACTTCGCAGACGACGGATTTGCCGCGCCCCTTGATCCAGTTGACGGCGGTGGCCTTCTTATCCGCGCAGTAGTTGCCCGACATGCTGACCACGCGCATGTCCGGGAACTGCGCGCCGAGCACGCCCAGCACGTTGCCCGTGCCTTTCGAAACCATGTTCATGCCCATCGCGTCGCCCGTGCTGCTCTCCACGCGGATGAACGCGTTGCGCCCCGCCACCGCCACGCTGAGGGTTTGCAGGCGCGCGAAGCGGCTGCTGCTGTTGAAGGCGTCCGCGAGGAGAACCCAGTTGCGCGGGTTCTCCGCGAAGGCTTTGAGCTCAGCCGCGCGGAGCGCGGAGGGGAGCTGCACGGCGGGCGCGCGGGTCATGCCGTCGCGCAGCACGACGCTGCGCGCGCCGCCCGCGGCGCAGATGGCCTTGCAGCCGCGGTTGGTGCTGGCGACGAGGCAGCCCTCGGTCGTCGCCATGGGTACGAAGAACTCCGCGTCGTCGAGTCGAAGGGGGCCTGCGACGCCCACGGGGATCGTCACGTGGCCGATCACCATCTCGCAGCACGCGCCGCGGATCGCGTCGTAGTCGTAGTTCTCGAGGGGGAGTCCCGCGAGGGAGCGGCCGGTTTTGATCTCCACGGCGCGCCGGCGGACCGCGGCGGCGCGGAGGGTGTTGCCGAGTTGGGTTTCGAGGGAATGCATGGGGATGGCGCCGCGCGCGACGGCACGCGCAATGTCGTCGTCCGGGAGGTCCTGTAACGGGACGTCTGGTAGCGAAGACGAACTGTCGAGCTTAAAGGTGCAGGACTTGGGCGCCGCGGGAGCAAGCGCGCTTGAAGCGGATGTGGTTGTAGCGGGGGTGGCAGTGGCGGAGGAGGAAATGGAGGGGTTGGTACTAGCGGGGGTGGCAGTAACGGGAGTTGGGATGGGTTCGGGCTTATACCAGGGCTCTGGTTGATGGGGGGCATAGTGCCCGCGCGAATGGTTGCGCCGATGGTTGCGCCTGTGGCGGGAAAGCAGCTGCTTGGGATCTTTCTCCTCCTCTTCCTCGTCTTCCCCTTCCTCGTCATCGTCCTCCTCTTCCATCTCCTTCGCGTCCTCCTCCTCGGAAAGCATGCTCTGCTCGATGGCCGACTGCACGAATCCAACCCCGAAGAAGTTTATAAGGTAAATGAAGGAGCCCATACCGAGGCAGACGGCGACGAGATCTCGCCAGAGCAATTCGTGAAGCTTCTCCGACGAGTAGAGCTGCTCGCGCCATTGCTGGAGCAGGTAGCAGCAGGAGAAGATGAAGGTGAGCAGGAACACCGTGTTGGTCAGCCACAGAGGCAGCGGGAGCACGTCGGATGCCAGAGTCCTTCGGCGAAGCTTCTTCGGGCTGCCGGATTCATCGCTGTCGGCGTAATGTGGGATCATGTCGCCGGGACGCGAGTGGGCTCGATAAGTTAAATATGGGTGGGCTGCTGGGTCCATGTTTAAGGATACGGCGAGGTAAGGTAAAGGAGGGGTCTTAACGGTACTTAGGGTACAGCAAGGTAAGATGAGGAACAAGTCTGTGGGAGATTCACGATCTTGGGGCAAAAAAAAGGTGATGAATGGTCGATAGATGTCCCGGATCTGAGGAATAAGCTCGAATTCCGAGAATGGGAAGACTGTGGAGGTTCGAGGTATGGTGACGCCACTACCCACTGCAGCACACTATGCGCCGTGCAGTTAGTAGGGCTGCGGAAATGAATGCGCGGGACTGCAAATCGGCAAGCAAAACGTGCATGGCTTGGGTGGAGTGGACGGGGTGTGGGTGGGGTGGGTCGAGGTGGTGGGTCGAGGGTCCCAGGAAACTCAGCTTGAGGCACAAGTATGGCTGGGTTTGGATCCAACTACCTTCGGTGTTTGGCGCACACTGATAGCTGCCGGTGGCACGTATAGGGGGAGGAGATAGCGGTTCTAGGGCGTGTTCGTGATCGCCTCAGTCTTCTGATCTGTAAAAGTTTATTAGCCTGGGGGCGCCGAATTATCATAATTACAGATCTGGGAGAAAGTTGGAAGATCTGAAGCGTAAGCGAGACAGGAAGTGGGTGTCAGAGATGTCACGGAGTCATTAATTAAATATGGAAACACACCCTCGATTCTTCTAATCCAGCCTGGGCTGGTGGCTGCGCCAATGTGGGACGGGGATCGAGGGTTGAGAGTGGAAAGAGACGAGACCCAGCACGATCGCAGTGCAGAATTCCGGCGATTTCGTTTGGCTAGATTTTCAAAGAAACTAGGGGTCGGCGGCGGGTCCCCAGTAGTCCGAAGGCTTTCGTCGAACCCCAACACCGAACCTGCGCAGGGTCAATTTTTTTTGCGGGGTTAAAAAAGTTTCTGAAAAGTTTCAGTGCGGTGGCGTATCAATTGATGAGGGTCTAGCGCTATTACCGCACTGAACCTCTCTAAATAACGCCCTTGCGCAGGTTCGGTGTTGAGGGTTGAACATAGGTGACGTTACATGTATACAGCTATTTGTATATACATTCGCACACAAGACTGTGTGGAGTTGTAAAACACAGTGGTACACTTCATGTAGCACAGCCCTATGTTTCTAACACATCAACTTCTTTCTTACAAGAGCCACAATGCGTTCAAACGAACCCTTCTTTTCAGGGCAGGTCAGACAGTATATACAAGGTTCGTTTACACGGCTCAACACGTTCCGCTACGGTTGGGAACTTTCAAAGAATTCACCGCTTCCAACCATTTTGGCAGACCAATAAGACACCAAGCCGTCCCTTTCCATTATTCCTCTCCATTGACCTCATCGTCGCTTGCTCTCTGCGATCAACCACACCAGACCACCCTTGATGACTGGGAAAGGACGTTCGCATATCTTCTACAAACCGACTTTCACCGCTTTTAACAATCGTACACCAGAACGAACCTACAAAATTCAGATTTGAACAAACAAAATTGGCCGCAATAATTCATCACGCCATTCATATTTCATCCGCTTCACCTCGCCGCAAACTCAGTTATGCGATAACCGGAATCGCGTTCGCGGAATGCCCATTAGTTGGAAAGTAGCAGAAGTCTGGAAGGAATCCACCACTAGGAGGCGTCGCACCAAGAATGACCGCTTTACTTGCGATCCTCGGGTCGCCATCGCCACGGCGAGCGTTTTCTGCTTTGCGGGTCGCTGCCAGTAGCGAAACTGCCGGGGATCGTCGTACGCTGGTGGCGACCTTCCCTGACGAAGTGGAATACGTGCTCGTTGCTGTGACGGCGTCTTCATCGCTCAACGCACTAGACTTACGTTGGGCGCTGCCCGCTTGCTTGCTACACTAAATGTTTCCCTTGATTGCTAACGATTGACCGCAGGCTCGGAGATTTTCGACGCGAAACGAGAGGTTTGGAGGGTGTGATGCGATGCGAGCGATGGGTGAGGCGAGGCTCGAGAGGCGAGCACATAGTAGAAAAGGAGATGGGAGCAGCAGCGATGAGCAGCATAGTTTATCGCAACCGCTTCCTTTCAAGCGAAGCTTTTAAGGGAAGCTCCTCTCCATTCGCTCTCCCACCGTCGCCGCGCTTGTAGCTCCTCTTTTCGTCCTTCCTGCCGTCGACCGAGCGGTCGCGCGTCCATTGCTTCAATCTCATCTCAACAGATCCAAACCGCCGGCGAGTATGCGGCGGAAAATGGGGAGTGCGACGCTCGTGATTGGCGTCTTCCTCGTCGCGCTCTTCACCGGTGCGACTCGCCGCATTGCGCCCCCTGCTCTTCTCCTCCCACGCATGTCCTTGTCAATATGCCTTTTGCTCAGAAGAAAAGAGTCTTCTCTCTTTCCATGCTTCGTCAACACATGGTGCACTCTCAATGGCCCCCTGCTACGCATTTTTTTGTCAACACGCCTTGAACCCTCCGTGCGCCTAGTAGTACCATACCTTTGATGCTCTCACCCCATGGCAGTTAGTTCACACCCACTGGGAGAGTGCCATTTCTCAAAGGCTTCGATGAGTGCAAACAAGCCCAACACCTTCCGTTCAGCTGTTCCCTTCTCCTGTGCCCCCCTCGCAGCTAGTCACCTAGTCACGGGCAGCGAGGCGTTCGGCTTGAGCGTCAAGGCAGCAACGGCCGCGGGCATCAGTGCAGTGAGTGACAGCATCAAGAAAGCAGCAGACAAGGTGACCACTGCAGCGACCGGCACGAGCAGCAATAAGCCAACGGATCTGGCCAGCGATGTGCTGACCGACAGCAACAAGCAGGCAGCAGACACGGGCAGCAATGTGGTGACTGACATGAGCACCAACAAAGCAGCGGACGCGACCAGCGATGTCGTGAGCGGCAACGAGAGCAGCGAAAAAGCAACCGGCACAGGCGGTGCTGTCAACGAGGCATCAGGCGGCAAGGGCAGCAAGGCAGTAGGCGGTGCTGTCAACGAGGCATCAGGCGGCAAGGGCAGCAAGGCAGTAGGCGGTGCTGTCAACGAGGCATCAGGCGGCAAGGGCAGCGAGGCAGTAGGCGGTGCTGTCAATGAGGCATCAGGCGGCAAGGGCAGCATGGCAGTAGGCGGTGCTGTCAACGAGGCATCAGGCGGCAAGGGCAGCGAGGCAGTAGGCGGTGCTGTCAACGAGGCATCAGGCGGCAAGGGTAGCGAGCCAAAAGGCGGTGCTGTCAACGAGGCATCAAGCGGCAAGGGCAGCGAGGCAGTAGGCGGTGCTGTCAACGAGGCATCAGGCGGCAAGGGCAGTGAGGCAGTAGGCGGTGCTGTCAACGAGGCATCAGGCGGCAAGGGCAGCGAGGCAGTAGGCGGTGCTGTCAACGAGGCATCAGGCGGCAAGGGCAGCGAGGCAGTAGGCGGTGCTGTCAACGAGGCATAAGGCGGCAAGGGCAGCGAGGCAGTAGGCGGTGCTGTCAACGAGGCATCAGGCGGCAAGGGCAGCGAGGTAGTAGGCGGTGTTGTGCCAACACATTACAGTGGCACGGTCATCGCACTCCCATTCGGTCTACAAGCCTGCTCAGATTCTGGAATTTTGTTGGGAGGATGTTAAACATGTGTTCTTCAAATTCTTAAAGTTTCAGAGTTTTTGAGGTACTTACCAAGGCATACCAACATTTTATGTTTCAAGACTTATGGCATCCCGGAAGTGTGTGTTACTCCTTTTTTGCAACTCCCGAGTTCACCATTTCGGCTGCTGAGTCGTCTACAAAGCTCTGATTGGTCTGAAATTCAATGTGGCAGTCTTTTGCATCGCAGTGCAAGTGGTCACCAAGTTTGAGAATGATCCAACATCTGAGCATTGCGTGACAGCTGCCGAAGTTCACTGTTTCGTAGTCATGGTGCACTGTTGGTAGCATTTCCCTTGCCACCCTTTCATTGTTGTCATGCCAATGGTGGAGGGACAGAGAATGAGACAAGAAGTATAGGCTGTCAAGTGGGACTCTACAACCCTCCTTTTGAGAAGTGTGGTCTTCCTGGAACCAGCTTGGAAGAGGGTGCAAGTGGGAAGACAAGCTGACTCATGGTTGGCTTAACTCACAATTGTGCTAACTGCTGCCGAAGTTTCAGCTTTATGTGTTATCGGAGTTGATCGTGACGGCGTTTTGAACAGAGGCGGTTTGAAGACGCCAGATTCTGCTTAGGCGGTTTCATGGGCATCCGCGACCTCTAAGTGGACACTTGACTATAACAAGTGGTATTAGAGCTGTTCTACTCTGTTTGTGGGTGAATATGGAGGCGAAAGTTTCTGCTCCAGCTGGTCCCAATGGCAGTGCTGGCGTGAGAGGCGCTGGGGAAGCGGGAAGAGGCGTTGCCGACGGATCTGCACCAATGGCTTCCGTTTCAACATCAGCTAAGGATGATGTGAAGGCATTCAACCTGGAGAAGTTATCTAGGGAGGATTGAGCATCATGGAGCTTCAGGATGGAGCTCGTCTTAAACCATTATGGGCTGCTTGAAGTGACGGATGGAGAATTGAAGAGGCCTGCGAGCGAAGGAGCGACCAAAGAATGGGATCGCAGGTCCAAGGATGGATTCTTCCTTCTCTCCCAATGCCTCTCATCCTATCAGCTGCACCACATCAAACATCTCATCAAGGAAGTTGAGTGTGGTCCTAAGGCTTGGAAGATATTGAAGGATGTCTATGCCCCCAGCAGCGAAGCTATGGTGGTGGTGCTCGAGCGACAACTCCATGCGGTGAAGATCAACGAGGGTGATGCCGTACAAGGAGCGTTCGATCAACTTAGGGACCTCTATGTGAAGCTCTCTGCTGCTGGTGTGGACTACCCTGAGAAAATCAAGTGCTACAAAGCTCTCTCCCTGCTGCCGGAGTCGTGGGGGCCCTTGGTGGTCAACCTTAATGGCATGAAGGACTCGTGGTCCTTTGAGTGGATTCGCGCGCAAGTTCTTCAAGAGGAGTTTCAGAGGAAGGAGCTGACCGCCGCTACCGGTGACGGTGGAGGTTCAGCCTACTGCATGAAGGGCTTCAAGGGGCGTGGCAGCAAGAAAGGCAAGGCCAAGGAAGGCTCTGGAGGGGAGCAGCATTCGGGAGGGAAGCGTGGCAACAAGGGAGGCAAGCGGTGTGGCGGCAAGTGTTGGTATTGCCATGTGGAAGGGCACCCATGGTTCAAGTGCCACAAGCTACCTGACGGTTGGAGGCCTGGTCAGCCAGCAATTGAGGGCTCCAAGGGTGTTCATGGAGCTATGGGAGAAGGCATGGGCAGTGAGGAGGGCGATGGAGGTGCTGGCGGATACGGCGGCATGTTCTACCATGTAGGGGAGGCGTGCCCCGAGGACATGGTTGTGCCGGCCAGCAAGATTGCTCTTCACCGCTCCTCCCATTGGGTCATCGACACGGGAGCCTTCATAACCATGACCAACCGAGAGGATCTACTGGATGAAGTTAGGCCATCAAAGGCAGCCACTGTCGTTTCAGCCACCGGCCAAGTTGTACCCGTGCGTGGCGAGGGGAGAGCCATGTTCATGGGTGCGGATGGGAGGCTTGTGGGGCAGAAGCGTGTTCTCCTTGTTCCTGGATTGTGTGCCAACCTCCTCTCTGCCAAGGCCCTAAGTGAGGCAGGGATGAAGATGGAGATGTTGGGCACAAAGGTTTTCAAGGCAACTCTGGATGGGCGCGTTTTGTGGGACCTCCGAGGCGGCAAGGACATGCACCGGTCCATGTGGGAGATACCGGTGCTGCCATGGAAGGAGGCGGCTGCGTGCTTGGCTGCTGGAGGTATGAGAGGAGGGCAGGTTAACCACGTGGACAATGGAGGAGGTGGTGATGATAGTGATGGTGGGCTCCTTGGGCATGGATGGGCCGAGTTACCAAGCGCAACTCCTAGCACGGGTGAGACGGATTGGCTCACCGCACACCGTCGCTTTGGCCACGTGGCGCTACCTCAGTTGCAGCAGCTGTTCAAGGAGGAAAGAGTCAGGGGGCTGAGGATAAAGGGGGAGCCCAAGGAGGTGGGATCTTGTGAGACTTGCTTGACCAGCAAGTTTTCAGGGTTTCCCTTCCATTCGGTGGAGGGGAAGTCGAGCGACACGGTGGAGCTCGTGCATGTGGATCTCGTGGGACCCATGAAGGTGAAGGGAGATGGTGGGGCCCTGTATTCCATGACCATGGTGGATGACAACACAAGGCTCACTTGGTCCTTTCCACTTGCAAGGAAAAGTGATGCTGCAAGGATCATCATTGAAGAGTGGCTGTCCTTGGTGGAGCGAGAGAGCGGCAAGCAGGTGATGGCGATTCGTAGCGACCGTGGTGGGGAGTTCTTGGGAGCGGAGTTCCGGAGCTGGCTGAAGCGGCACGACATCAAGCAGCAGCTCACCACGGCCTACACTCCTCAATCCAATGGCGTGGCAGAGAAAGCAAACCGGACCATCATGAAGGGTGGGAGAACGATGTTGGTAGACTCGGATCTACCCTTACGATTCTGGCCCCTCGCTATTCGCCATGCCACCATCATCAAGAACCGAGTATTGACTCATATGGGAGGGCAACATTGGGTCCCTATGGAGAAGTGGAGAGGCAAGAAGCCCTTGGTGGATATGCTTCAAGTCTTCGGGTGCATGGGACTCGTGCACGTCCCTAAGGAGAAGCGTGACAAGCTTCAAGCGGCGGCGGTGTGGGCTGTTCATTTGGGACTTGCACAAGGGAGCAAGGGGTGGCTCATGTGGGACCCAAAAGCCAACACCATCTTCACCACCAGAGATGCCAAGTTCATGGAGGGGCTCATGTTCAAGGAGTGGTTGGAGCGAGGGAGGAGCAAGGTCACCATTCTGCTCGGAATAGAGGTGGGAACGAATGACCCACTCCTCATTCCCATCGAGTTGTCTTCATCTTCAGAGGTAACGGAGGTGTCACATGACTTGGGAGGTGCTGAAGGGGAGGCAGCAGAGGTGGAGGGAGTGTTGCAGCAAGAGGCGGCTCCTGTAGCTGAGAGAGGTGCTGCCGGGGAGGAGGTGCAGCAGCCTACACCATCCCCTTCACTTCCACCAAGGCGGACAACCCAAGGGAAGCGTGGTGCTGTCCGCGGTGGAGTTAAGGAGGGTGCAGCCAAGGAGAGGCCCAAGAGAGCTGCTCACCCAAGGGATTTCCTCAAGTATGAAAGGCTTGGGGGTCCCAAGGCATTGCTGGTCCAGGAAGAAGAAGATGATGAGGAGGGAGCCGAGGGAGAGATGGAGTAGATTTGTTGCTTCGGTTTCAACCTACCTCATGAACTAGCTTCAATGGAGGAAGCACTTGCTGGAGATGATCGAGAGGCTTGGTTAGCTTCAAGGGAGGATGAGTTTCGGAGCCTCATGGAGAATGGAACATGGACCCTCACTGATCTGCCCCCGAAAAGAAAGGCATTGGATTGCACGTGGATATTACGTGTGTAGACTGATGCGGAGGGGAAGTTGGAGAGGCGCAAAACAAGACTTGTGATCAAGGGTTTCCAGCAGAGGGAGGGAGTTGACTTTAAGGAGGTGTTTGCTCCTGTTGCCAAGGCTCCTACGCTCCGGGTGTTGCTAGCAGCAGGTGCCGTTTGTGGTTGGAAGGTGGAGCAAATGGATGTGAAGAGGGCTTTCCTCTATGGCGTGGTAGATGAGGAGATCTACATGAAGCAGCCAGAGGGGTACGACGATGGGAGCGGACGTGTTTGCAGGCTCAACAAGGCCATCTATGGCCTCAAACAAGCTCCAAGGTGCTGGTATGCAAGGCTGATGGAGGCGTTGGAGGCTCTTGGCTTCAAAGTTAGCGGGTGCGACGAGAGTCTCTTCATGACCGAGGGGGAGGAGGAGAAGGTGTTTCTCCTTGGCTACGTCGATAACTTCTCCTCTTCTCTCCATCCCTAGAGAGGATCAAGGAGGTGCAAGGAAGGCTGAAGGAAACCTTTCAATGCAAGGCCCTTGGACCAGTGGGGTATTACCTTGGTCTTCACGTGGAGAGGGACGAGGTGAAGGGATGGTTGAGGCTTCACCAACACAAGTACCTTGCAGCCATGGGGGAGAGGTATGGGCTGGAAGAAGGGAGGAGTGTGAAGACTCCTCTACCCTCAGGGTTTCAGCTACACCTTGATGAAGAGGAGGGTGAGGTGTTGGAGCCCGAGTTGCAGCGTCGGTTCCAGTCAATGGTGGGGAGCTTGATGTATGCTTCGGTCAACACTCGCCCCGATATTTCATTCGCGGTTTCGCAGCTGGCTCGTGTGGTGTCTAGGCCCCTTCAAGAGCACCTTGATGCAGCAAAGAGGCTAGTGAGGTACTGCATGGCAACCTCAAGGGCGGGGCTGCAATATTCAGTGCATGGGCAGCTGAAGCATAAGGGAGTGGAGGACGTGAGCACAAAGACCGGTGCACCTGCAAGCCGTGGACACTTGTACCTATCGTGCTTCA